CTGCAACCTCCCAATGAATTCCTGTAAAGACTATGACCACTGTCAATTAATGTCCTACTATCTTTCATTCTTCTCCTACTGCACTCCTTCATTCTTCTCCTTATTTCTTCCATTCTTTAAAGTCCAGGGGTAGGCAACCTTTCCCCTTTAAGGGCCGAGGGACTTCAGCTCCCAGAAGCCTCAGCCATGTTGGCCAATAGTCCCATGTTGGCCAATAGCTCCTGGGATTCTGGGAGCTGAAGTCCTTCGGCCCTTAAAGGGGAAAGGTTGCCTACCCCTGCCTTAAACCTTCAATCACTCTTCTTTCGTTCTACCTCCCCAGATTCCAGGCTATTTCTACCAGTCTCAGTCCTAAGCAACTGCACCCAAGACCATAAACCCAAAAACTTGATCTCCCACTGGAACCTGACATCTAAAAGAGGGCCATGGACACCTTTTCCACACTTACTCAGAAGTAAACCCCATTGACTTACTTGGAGCTTACTCCCAGAGAAGCTGAGACCACCTCGGAAGGATGGCTACTTCTCAGGGAACCTCAGGGGTAGATTCTTGCCCTGGCCTGGGGTTAGACTACATGACCTTAAGGGTTCCCTCCCAATTCTGGGATCCCATTATAAGCCCCTACCTAGGGTTGCGGGGAAAGAGGGTTTTGGGGTGCATTTATTAGGACCAGGGTGCTACCAGGGTGACCAGATGTCTTCACCGCAAAGGAGGACAAGGTACCACAAAATGGAGGGCATTCATTTATATATGCCACAATATACAATAATTTCAAACCGTGTCAAGAGCAATGCACAATTGTAGTGTAGGTACCACAAAATGGAGGGCATTCAAGAAAAAAAGTGGAGGACGTCACCAAATAAAAGCTGGAAACACTCCTCCTATAAATGTAAAATCATACTTCAAAATGGAGGACCCTTTGAAATTCCTCCCAGGTCGAAGGCTGAGATAGGTAGGGTGTGTCCGGAAAAAAGAGGACCCCCCGCGAGGGAAGCTGCCACGAATTAAAAAGGCTTGGTGTGAACCTGAACAAGAAAGGAAAGAAATGATGCCGCTCCCATTGAAGTAAATGGGGTTGCAGTCTGGCGTTGTGGTTTGGGTGTTGGACTACTACGACTCTGGGGACCTGGGTTCGAATCCTCGCTCGGCCATGAACCCCACTGGGTCACTTTGGGCAGGGCAAGTCACACTCTCTCAGCCTCAGGGAAAGGCAATGCCAAAGCCCCTCTGAACAAATCTTGGCAAGAAAACCCCGCGATCGGTTCGCCTTAGGTTTCCATCCACACTGCAGAAATCATGCGGTTTGAGACCACTTTAACTGCCCTGGCTCCGTGCTACGGAGTTCTGGGAATGGCAGCTCCGTACTGGTGCCACAACAAACTGCAATTCCCAGAATTCCATAGCATGGAGCCATGGCAGTTGAAGTGGTCCCAAACCGCATTATCTCAGCAGTGTGGATGCATTCTATAAGCCAGGATCGATTTGAAGGCAGACTAGCAACAAAAAAAGAAAGGCTGGATTTTGGCTCAATCTAAACCAACATGTTCCAAAACTGGAAGGAAACTTGGAAAAGTACTCCAGTTAAAGTGGAATCGTGGTTAAATCGGAGTCCGTACCACGTTTTACTTGGACCTGGAATTGATGGAGGAGGGAGAAATACAGTCGCAACAAGACTCCTTCCTTTCCAGAGGTGCACCCAAAAAATAAGAAATTGCATTTACAAAATATTGTGGGATTAAGGCACCCAAAGGAAAGAGGCAGGGAAAGGCTGCATCCGCACTGGCAGAAATAACCCGGTTTGACACCACTTTAACTCCCATGGTTCAATGCGATGGGATTCTGGCAGTGGTAGTTTTGTGAGACATTTGTCGCCGCATCTATCAACTGTGGGTCAATCAGAAGGGATTGATGCTGGTTTTAGGCTGCATCCGCACTACAAAAGTAATCCGGGTTGACACCACTTTAACTCCCATGGCTCAATACTATGGGATTCTGGCAGTGGTAGTTTTGTGAGATACTTAGCCTTATGTACTAGAGCACTTGGTATCCTTACCAAACTCACAACTGTGGGTCAGTTAGAAGGGATTGATGGTGACTTTTAGGCTGCATCCGCACTGCAAAAATAATCCACTCTGAAACTGGTTTAACTGCCTTGGCTCAATACTATGAGATTCTGGGAACTAATTTTGTGAGACCTTTAGCCTTCTCTGTCAGAGTGCTCTGGTGCCACAACAAACTGCAATTCTCAGAACTCCATACATAGCATAGCATGGAGCCAGGGCAGTTAAAAGCGGTCTCAAACTGGATCCTTTTTGCAGTGTAGATGCAGCCTCAGAAGTAATTCCCTTCCAATTTAGCCCAGTCCCGGGACAGGATCTCGGTCAGAATAAGGGGCAGATCGCGCAAGAGGGGAGATCTCCTTCGAAGATCACCTTCCCAGACACCCAAAGCCAAAAAAGCCCAGCCTTGGGAGACCGATCCTGCCTTTACTGCGCACGATCCTGCACCTGTGCGCAGGTTTCCTCAAGAAGCCGATCTCTCTGTATCCCATGGGGTTTCTTCTCAGGCAACCCTATATTGGGGTCCGAGCCTTCC